TCGCAGGGCAGGATTTATTAGCTTCGGTGTTGAAATGTTCCAGACGCCTAATTGGTTGCAGTTGGTACCTGAGAAGAGGCACAAAGTTATTTGGGAAGGTGAGAGCCTTACTGTAAAGATACTGTCCAAATGTCCAAGAATTAAAAATGGCTACGCGGAAATTTACTAAGGAAAAGAGAGCTGATTCTGTAATCCGAGTATAACCCACAGGCTCTGATGGACCTCTGCTCCTATGGAAGGTCCGACATGTGGAATTGCGTTTCCCTAGAAACTGATTTGGCATTTTCGATGCTGGGATATTATGGAGGACTTGCAAGATAGGGTACAGTTCTCTGGTTCAAAAAAGGATGTGGGCAAAATCGAGAGGGTGCAGAAGAGAGCGACGAGGATGATCAGGGGTCTGGAGGTTGAGCCCTATGAGGAAAGGCTGAGGGCCCTGGGAATGTTTACTTTGGAGAAGAGGAGACTGAGGGGAGGGGATACGATTGCTCTCTTTAAGTATTTGAAAGGCTGTCATTTGGAGGAGGGCAAGGAGCCGTTCCAGTCGGCAGCAGAGGAGAGGACCCGAAGCAACGAGTTTAAATTACACACAGAAAGGTATCGGCTGGCTATTAGGGAAAACTCTATCACGGTCAGGGTGGTTCAAAGGTGGAATCGGCTGCCCAGGGAGGTGGTGAGCTCCGCTTCACTGACAGCTTCCAAGAAGAGGCTGGACGAATATTTGTCAGAGATGCTTTAGGCTGGTCCTGCATTGGGCAGGGGGTTGGACGAGATGGTCTGTATGTTCCCTTCCAACTCTATGATTCTTTAAAGGCCTGCGTCAGAGCTAACGAGAAACCGGGGAAAGCTCATTTAAGATGGTATGAAACGGAGCCTGCAGTATACACGGTCTTAAAAAATTCATTTCTCCGACCTCACCTTGGACCGTTTTTATGCCATCCGTAAGCCTCTTCCAAACCTTGCTTTCTTTTTCGAGGTCACACTTTACTGTGGTGCTGGGAACAATGATTAACAATGGAAGATCTGGTCCAGTTGGGTCCCCCAGGCTGTACGAAACAGTTAACGTCTCTTGTCTGGAAATGCGTCTCAACCTTAGTGAAAGCGACCCCCGAAAGGCGTCGATTGATATCGATGCAGAGAGGCAGACATAGGTCTATCCGTCTTTCTAAATCTGCCGCTTGTCTGTTTGAAATCAGGCGTGGGCCGGCGCCCCGCGGGAAGCGTCTTGCTGGATCTGATGGAGGGGCTGTCTAGTTAAGCATTCTCTTTCAAGCATCGCTCAGCTGCCTGTCGATCAAGGCGAGATGGAGAGAGGAATCCAAACTGTAGTTTCCTTGTGGCTGCGTTGTGGAGCCAGTTTGGTGTAGTGGTTAAGTGCGCAGACTCTAATCTGGGAGAACCGGGTTTGATTCCCCCACTCCTCCACTTGCACCTGGCTGGATGACCTCGGGCAAACCGTAGTTCTGATAAGAGCTGTTCTTGAAAAAAGAGCAGTTCCTGTCAAGAGCTCTCTCAGCCCCACCCACCTCACAGGGTGTCTGTTGTGGGGAGGGGAAGGAGTTTGTAAGCCGCTCTGAGACACCTTTGGGGAGTGAAGGGCGGGGTATAAATCCAATCTCCTCTTCTTCTTCTTTGAAATACTGGGTTCACGTTCCCGATGCTCCACCACGACGGCTTTGCCCAAATCAGTGGGGCCCTCTGCAGGCGCCGACCCACAAATGGGTCAACAGCTGCCCATACACATCAGACGTACATCGGTATTTGGCTCTTGCCTAAGCACCAGTGAACTCTCCTTTTCCGATCCCACACTGGATGGCAAGCTGCTTGAAGCCAAATAGTGCCAACCCCCTAACCAGTTTGGTGTAGTGGTTAAGAGCGTGGACTCTAATCTGGGAGAAACGGGTTTGATTTCCCCACTCCTCCACGTGCAGCTGCTGGTGTGACCTTGGGTCAGTCACAGTTCTCTCGGAGCTGTTCTCTCATGAGCAGTTCTCGAGAGAGCTCTCTCAGCTCCACCCACTGCACAGGGTGTCTGTTGTGGGGAGGGGAGGGGAGGGGAAGGAGACTGTAAGCTGAGTCTGCTCTGAGACTCAGAGTGAAGGGCAGGGTATCAATCAAATCTCCTCCTCCTCTGCAGACAGACTTCCTCAAACACCTGGCTACAGGGAATATCACTGAGTGTGAGTATCACACCAGTTTGGATGCCGGTGAGGTCTATTATAATTCTTTGTGTTGCATAATGATTCATTGCTGGCTATTCCTTGTAGGCAGTGTTCCCTCTAAGCTGAGTTAGTGTGAGCTAGCACACAGTTTTTTAGCCTCTGGCTCACACATTTTTGTCTCAGCTTGGGAACGGTGGCTCCAGAGCAAACCAATTTATGCAGCAGACAAATCGCTCACTGACAACTTTAATGCCAGTCGCTCACAAAGTAGATTTTTGCTCACAAGACCCCACAGCGTAGAGGGAGTGTTGCTTGTAGCTACACATATTCTGCTCCGAAGAAGCCTTATGAAACAGGTGTTGGAGCAAGCCTGTCTGCCAATTCATACATCACAACATTGTGGAATCATTTTGTTGTTTATTCTTGTATGAAGGTACAGAAATGTATTAGTATTAGTAGTAATATTAATATTGATCTATTTTTTAAAAAAATCTATAAACGAGTGATATTCCTTTCGTGAATATATCACAGTTGCCGTTGACTATTTTCTACTCATCGTGATCTCTCTTTGGTTATCCTTGGTGACTAGAACAGGTCTGTCTGAAATGACAGAGAAAAAACCCATTAGCAGCTAGTTACTAAAACAAAATACAAAGACAGCTTGAAAAGGGTCAGTCAGTAACAATACTCCCTCTAAGCTATAAAGCCCTGTGAGCAAAAATCCTACTTTGTGAGCTACTGGCATTAAAGTTGTGAGCGCGCGATTTGGCTGCTGCATCAATTAGTTTGCTCTGGAGCCATTCTTCCTGAGCTAAGACATAAATGTGTGAGCC